CACAACCAACATTTGTGGGTCGATCGGAATCTCCATAGTACAATTCAGGCTAGACACCAGCATCAGTTTACGATTAATGTCGGGCTGGAATTGTAGGTGACTGTCTGGCAGGTCTATATGTTCTCCCAGCTGCGGTCTACAGGGACTTTATTGATATCAAGTCGTCCCTCGGCCGTAGTTGAAGCCAATAGCGATTTTTATTGAATGAATTTACACTTTGGTATTTCAAGGTGCAATTTTAGTAAATATATCTTCTAAAATGAGATGTCAGTGTTATTTTCATCTTTGAGCAATTTAGACGACAATTTATCCATCGCACTCTGGTGTATTAAAAATACTTTTACAAATATTGGTAGGTAGCGGGGCGGTTTTCCTCACCCCAAAACAAGGACAAAAGTCCGTATAAACATGTCCACAAATCCTTCGTTTTTGAGTTAAGTTTAAAAAAGTTTACAGTAGATGTCAAGTGACCCTAGCATGTCGTACATGTCATAGTACCTCATAGAGGGTACTTCAAGAGCAGCTCCCGTATCCATATGATTTGCAGGGGTCTTTCGTCCTCTGATCACTCACAACAGAAGAACTTTTGCCGATGGTTTATTGGACAAACTGTCAATCCGTTGGTTGTCTCTTCAGTCTTGTTTACGGATGAGGCAACATCTGGAAGAGATGGAAAAACAAATTTACACAGCCAACATTTGTGGGCGGATCAGAATCCCCATGGTACAATACAGGCTTGATACCAGCATCAGTTTACGATTATAATGTGGACTGGAATCGTAGATGACTGGTTTGTTCTCGCAGCATGTTTTACAGGAGCTGTCTACAGGGACATTATTTCGAACACACTTGCAGACGTGCTAGAGAATGTAACCCTACTAATACGAAGACGCGTGTGTTTAATGCATGATGGGGTTCCAGCACATTTTAGTCACATTGTTCGTGAGGCATTGGTTGACATCTACCATGAAAGTTGGATAGGTAGAGGATCACCGATTCCCTGGCCTACACGTTTCCCCGATCTCGGTCATTTGAATTTTTATCTGTGGATCCCGCTAAAAATAATTGGTTTATGCAGTAAACATTAATAATTCAGAGACGCTACATCAACGTGTCATAGGGATCTGCGAAACCAATCGACATCGTGCGCGAGCATGTGAAAGGGTCCACCAGTCAATGATCTGACGGGTTCATGCGCGTGAAAGAAAGCGGAGGACATTTTGAACAGTTGCTATGAGCTGCTGTGTTGAGGTACAACGATAACGTTTTTAACATATGTTTATATATATGTTTTGCCTAGTTTATGTGTCAAGAACCCGCCCCCAAGTTTGTAAAAGTATTTTTGGATTGTATCTTGGATTGTACATTTAACAGTGTCTACCGTAAACTTTAAACTTGATAACTCAAAAATGAAGGATTCCCGTACATATATTTATAATGACTTTTGTTCTTGCTTTGGTGTGAGGAACCAACTCCCAAATTTTGTAAAAGTATTTTTGATACACACTGTATATGCAGAGGATACCACAGTGTATGTGTGCACCCTCAAATATCATGATGACAAGTGCTTGGTAGCTGATTTCTCCTCTGATCTATCTTTCACAGGTGGAAAAGTTTGGTTTATCTTACAGCATATCAACTTCAATGGGTCATTTAATGCTGACAAGATTTTTAGGATAAGATGGTATGAGTAGAATATGTATGTTTTGTGAGCAATCATTTTTCAGATCAGGATTCATTGACTTTTTTTTTTTTTTTTTTTTAAAGAGTTTTTATTTTTTAATCGAGAGTCGAATGTGTTGCTGGCAACATTTTTTTTTCCAAAATGTATTGCTGGTATTTTTGCGATAAAAATCTATTTTTATACTTTCATAGCGATTTGACCCCGGTTTGAGGTTTAAGCATTTGCTCATAGCTGGGACCCTAACAGGTGCTACCACCCACGGTCAGGGTGGGCTTGGGAACAATAGGAATGACACGGTGGTTTCAGATCAAAGGCCTTGCTGCCGGATGTAGTTTATCGTCATACCCAGGACGAAATGGGGAAAAAATTGGCTGGTATCATTCAATACATCCAAAACTAAACAAGTAAAATATACACCATTACCTAGCAGACCATATACCTGTACCAATCTTGATGAAAGGTCATTTTCTGAAAGAGGTTGCTTGCCTTGAACAATCTATTGGGTGCAAAGGTCACTCCTAAACTCAAATGAAACTCATTTATTCGTACCATGTAAAAGATACTAGAACGTAGGAAATCATGGCGCTTCTTAATTTTCTGTCCTTTGTAGCTCTTAATAAATATTATCTTTCTGTTAATGTTCCTAATCCCTGTTTCGCCATCTATTTACTCAGGCTCATTAAGTACCTTGTGCATTGTTTTCCTCTGTCCCTCTTGACTTCAGTCTGCCCTGTGAGTATCAGATTTTCTAAACCCTTTTTTCTTTATTATGGGGCCTAGAAATATCAGCTGTCTCTTCCTGATGTTAAATATAAGTTCCCTTTGTGTTGCTATTTTCCTCTCTCCCTCTTGACTTCAGTCTGTCCTGTGAGTATCAGATTTTTGCCGTCATATGAGACACAATTTTTTAAAAAGCTATGGAAATATTATACTATGACCAATAGGCTGGTATTATGACTAGAGGGCCAACTCAGAAGCTCGAAATAGACAGTCATGAAGCTTAGGTGAATCAGTTATATGCCATGTGTGATACACGCTTAGGCGATCATGTATCTTTCGATACATGACTGATGAGGCAGATTTTTTTTTCCCCACATAACCATCGAAGGCTAGAGAACGCGGTCTGTCTTGCTATTTAGCCACAGTCGGAGGGAGAAGAAAAGGATACATACCTTTCCCAAGGGTCTTAGCATGTAAGTGAATTTCAGTCAGTTATGTGCCATGCGTGATACACGCTTAGGCGATCATGTATCTTTCGATACATGACTGACGAATCAGAATGTTTTCCCGCATGACGTTGCCATTTCTTTCTGCGGTAGACCAGTTGCCATCGAAGGCTAGAGAACGCGGTCTGTCTTGCTATTTACCCATAGCTGGAGAGAGAAGAAGAGGGTTCATGCCTTTCCCTTTGTCTTTCTGTTATTTCTCCTAATCCCTGTCTCGCCATCCATTTACTCAAGCTCATTATGTTGTCCGTTATGTACCTCTGTCCCGCTTTCCTTCTATCTGATCCTGTGAGTATCAGATTTTCCAAGCCCTCCTTCCTCATTATGTCCCCCAGAAATCGGATGTAATGTTGTTATATACCGACCCCATGAACACTAATGGTTATGTCCCAGTCCTCATAAATATGTTGGATATTATTGTAAGTGGGGGTAATATGCTGTCTAAGCCGACGACGCGACAGGAGGAAGTCTTGTGAGGCAACCGTCTTTCTCATCAGGATCTAATCCGATTCTTTGAGCATCAGCTCAAGATGAAGATTAGAACTGATAGAAAACGCTTGCATTCGACAGTCTTCAGCGAAAGGTGGGTGACTGAGGCGAGCTTGGTTCGTTTGAACGGGTCTAGCCTTGATTTTCTCTTTTAGGTCAAGCCTACGTCACATCGGGGTGGTTTCCTGTGGAGCCCTCCCCTTGCTAAGGTTAGACAAGCTTTTGTGTACCTAGTTTTTAAGTGTTGTTCTTGGCCTGCTCCCAGCTGCAACTTTGCTTATGATCCAAGTCGAGATTCCCAACCTCCCCATTTTGTTTTGGCCCCTTTTTCATCTCGACTGGGTCAGCATTTTATTTCGCATGTCCGTATATTTTTTCATCCTTTCCCATTCCCTTAGCGAAAGTGCCTCTTGATTTTGTCCAAATGGGCAGAATACAGCGGCCCCTCTTTTTAAGGGTTGGAGTTTACTTTTTGTTGATATTTAGTTTGTTTTTGGAGTTTATTCCTTCCCCTCGCATTCTTCATCTTTAGATTTTTATATATAATTATTTATTATCATTTAATTTTTATGGCATGGTGTGCGTTTTGTAGGACCCCCTTGAGAGGATAGGGTATTATGGTGTATGGAGGATTGGTTGGTGACGGACGAGTTTTTATGGTGAATGTGTAAATTGTAATGAGTGAATGGGTCGTGAATCGTATTAGCTAGGTATAGGATAGTTAGTGACGACCAGCCTTAACCCCTCCCCTTTTAGGTCTTTTGCCGTAATTGTATTTTATATACAATAAATACCAATATGCTGTATAAGTAGTCCACCACTAGCAGTGGTTTACCTACTTCACGCCGCTGGCGAGTATTGTATTTTGTTGATGTTATAAAGATTACCATTTCATTTCCACCCTCCGTTTTGGTTATTCCTCATTCAGTAACCTTTCCTAGGTTACCACAAACGTATTAGTTTCGATTTTGTTTCCATTTTCTCCAAAAAATCATCGTTACTCAAATGTTCGGTATCCGCATCATCCTTCTGTAGAACCTAATGAGCTTGTTGTGTAAATAGATGGCAGAACAGGGACTAATGACATTTAGCTACCCCCCACGAGGGTTACATATGACACAAGGCCGGGTTTAACGTGGGATTTCCGAGCCCGTAGGCTCGGCCAAAAATATTCAGCTCTTTGAACCCGAATAAACGGGTTCAGGGGCAGTCAACCACCCCGAACGAGACTCTGTCCTTCGGCGGAGCCTCGTCCAGGTTCCTCTCCGCTTGAAAGCAGAGAGTTAGACTGTTGGCCCCGGAGACATACCCCGGAGCCAAAGGGACTAAATAGTAATAGTAAGATGGCACCCATTGCTGAGAAAAAAAAAACAAAAAAAAAAAAACGGTAGGACTTTTTGAAGAGCTATATTCGACCACGTCCTGAAGGGACACGACACATAGAAGAAGAGGAAGAAGAAGAAATATTAGAAGATAAGTATTGCTTTACGATTGTGCCTTTTTTTTATTATTATTACGGATACTAAGACTACAAGTGCTGCTATTACACCTGCGCCAGCGACTAATTTTTAACTATTACTACGACTACTACCAAAACGCTTATGACGAATGCCACCGCTGCTGCTGCTGCTGCTGCTTCGAGAAAACCGTACAACTTTACACTTACCGTCCAGAACCCATCATTTGGGCTCAAGACATCCATCAGGGTGGTAACTCACCAAATCAAAGCTACGATATATAGCCACACACAATTACAAAAGAAAAGAAAAAAGAAGCAAAACTAAAATAACGCACTTACATCCACATATACATACACACATATACATACACACATATACATAAACACACAAACAAGCAATCACCGGCACGAACTGTCGATCAGTCGTATAGACTGAACCACAGAACACATATCCATTAAATAACATTACACACGGTGACCTCACACACAGATAAGCACTTGTTTATAAAATATTATGTTTTGATTGAAAATGGAGAGTTTCTGAATAGTTTTGTTTTTTTTAGCACTTGTGCGGTGCTAGGCGCGCTTTGTGGGGCCCATCAGTCCTTCGTAAGTGCAGGTGCGCGTTAAAACAAAAGAAAATGTAACGAACCAAAACGTGTGTGTGTCTGTGTGTGGGTGTTAAGATGTTTTGGTGTGTATGTTGATTCCATACGACACAGGTGCAAAACACATACTTCAATTTGTTTCACTCACTACAAACTAGGTATATACCTTCAGTGACAAATCTATCTATCTATCTATCTATTTCAGTTAGTTCATTATCTATCTATCTCAGTTCATTATCTATCTATCTATCTATCTATCTCAGTTCATTATCTATCTATCTATATATCTATCTATCGATCTATCTCTCTATCTATTTCAATCAGTTCATTATCCATCTATCATTCTGCAGTAGGTTCGTTTGTTCATTGTTTCACACGTATCATTTTAACAAATACACGCATCATTTGGACGATAAATTTTATATCTATCTATCTATCTATCTATCTATCTATCTATCTATCTATCTATCTATTCTAGAGTTCGTTCGTTTATTCATTGTTTCACACGTTTCTTTTTAA